GAGAAATAAGAGCCATCACATGAATAGATATATGCACACCCATATTCGTTGCAGCACTGTTCACAATAGCAAAAAGATGGAAACAACCTAGGTACCCATTAACGGACGAATGGATAAACAAATTGTGGTCTATTCACACAATGGAATACTACACAAAGATAAAGAACAACGATGAATCTGTGAAGCATCTTATAACATGGAGGACTCTGGATGCACTATGCTGAGTGAGTTTAGTCAGTTGCAAAAATACAAATATTGCATGAGACCACTATTATAAGAATTCAAGAAAAGATTTAAACACAGGAGAACACATTCTTTGATGTTATGAGGGTGAGGAGAGAGGGAGAAGGTTATTCACTAACTAGATAGTAGACAAGAATTATCTTAGGTGAAGGGAAGGACAGCACACACTACAGGGGAAGTCAGCACAACTGGACTAAACCGAAGCTAAGACATTTCCTGAATACAACCAAACACTTCGAGGGACAGGGTAGCGGGGGGGAGCTCTGGGGACCATGCTTTCAGGGGACATCTAGGTCAACTGGCATAGCAAAGTTTATTAAGAGAATTTCTGCATCCTGCTTTGGTGAGTGGCATCTGGGGTCTTAAAAACTAGCAAGTGGCCATCTGGGATGCATCAATTGGTCCCAACCCACCTGGAGTAAAGGTGAATGAAGAACACCAGAGACACAAGGACAGTATTTGCCCAAGAAACAGAAAGGCCACATAAACTGAAGACTGCATCAGCCTGAGACCGGAAGAACTGGATGGTACCCAGATACCACCAATAACCGCCCTGACAGGGAACACAACAGAGAGTCTCTGATGGAGCTGGAGAAAAGTGGGGTGCAGAACTCAAATTCTAGTAAAAAGACCAAACTTAATGGTCTGACTGAGACTGGAGGAACCCCGGAAGGCATGGCCCCCAGACTCTCTGTCAATCCAGAACTAAAACCATTCCTGAGGCCAACTCTTCAGACAAAGATTAGACTGGACTATGGGACATAAAATGATACTCATGAAGACTGTGTTTCTTAGCTCAAGTAGATACACGAGACTAAATGGGCAGTTCCTGTCCGGAGGTGAAATGAGAAGGCAGAGAGGGTCAGGAGCTGGTTGAATGGACACGGGAAATCAGGGTTGGAAAGAAGGAGTGTGTGTCACGGTCTAGGGAGAGCAATTAGAGTCACAAAACAGTGTATGTATGAGTTTTTGTATGAGAGACTAACTTGAATTGTAAACTTTCACTTGAAGTACAATAAAATAAAATATATTGACTTAAGACAGTCTAATCTTGTCAACTGAGTACTACCTCATTAACATAACTGCTGCTAATCCTACCTCATTAACATCATAGAGGTAGGATTTACAGTACATAAGAAAATCACATCAGATGACAAAATGGGCAATCACTCAATACTGGGAATCACGGACTAGGCAAGTTAACACACATTGTTGGGAGACACAATTCAATCCACAACACAAGGTGAGGGGCTCCAGATGTAGGGATGTCAGGTCCAGATCCAGGGGTGTGAGGTTTCAGGTGCAACGATGTGGGGCTCCAGACGTAGGGATGTGGGGCTCCAGATGCAAGGTGAGGCGCTCCAGATGTACGGGTGAAGGTGTGAAGATGCAGGGTGAGGGCTTCCAGATCTAGAGGTGTGGGGCTCCAGATGTAGGGTTAGAGGCTCCAGATGTAGAGGGGTGTAGGGGCTCCAGATGTAGGGTGAGGGGCTCCACATGTAGGGGTGTGAGGCTCCAGATACAGGGTGAGGGGCTTCAGATGCACAGTTAGGGGCTCCAGATGTAGGGTGTGGGGCTCCAGATGCAGGGTGAGGGGTTCCAGATACAGGGTTGTGGGACTTCAGCTGCAGATGTGTAGGGCTCCAGTTTAGGCAAGGAAAGAAGTTTGAGAACGGGCATCCAGGCAGAGGGAATTGATTGGGCCAGAACAACTGGGCTGGAGATAGAGTTTGGGAGTCACTGAGTCTGCAAAAATAACTGAAACCATGAGAATGGAAGACCACAGATAGAGGAGAACCTGGACAGAGGCCCACGGAAGCCAGAGAAGGGAGTCCCAAGAAGCAGCAGCGCAGAATTTCTGGAGCAGGATGAGAGGTCCAGGCCTGCCTCAGCTCCTCCCTGACAAGCCCGGGATGGGAGACGAGGAGGGTCAGAGTGGACCTGTGTCTCCTGGGGGAGGCTGCCAGGATTCTAGGCCCAGCACCCTGGGTGGGGTGAACGCCTAGGTTTCCTGGGCCTCTGCAGAGGCAGCCTGGGGAGGCGGGGGGGGGGGGGAGGGGCAAGCCAATGACAGTGCCAGCCACGACTCCTCCTCCTGGGCCGGCTGGGCACACCCAAGTTGCTGAAGGCTGGGCAGGCTCAGTCCGAGGAACGGGCTTCCCCAGAAACCCTCCCTAGTCTGACATGAATTCTGGCTTCCTGCAAGTTCCACTACAGTTGCCAGGGGTCATTACCCGGAGAGCCCTGAGGAGTAGCCGATCAGGTAAAGGCATCTGTGTCCAGATGTGGCCTGCCCTCTGCACACCTGGAGGGGAGACTTCTCTGATGGGGAGTGGGGCAAGGGGACTAGGCATATCTGCTACCCTGGGTCCGCATGGTGGAGGAATGAAGGACTCCGCTCTCTCTTCTCTGAGTTCTTCCTGCTCTCCCAGCTGGTGAAGGTGACAGCCAGGGACCGAGAGGGAGAGGGGCGCAAGAGGGGCCAGGAGCCGAGCGAGCGGGAGCGAGCGGGAGGACGGCTATGCCGGGACCTGCACAGCCTCGCCCCACCTGCCCTATGTGGGCGGTGCCGAGAGTCCCGGGGGGCTGAGGGCTGAGGGCTGGGGCCTCCCTGGGTGTTTCCTGAGAAGCTGCAGTCCTTCCGCCCACGTTAGGCAGAACTGAGCAGTCAAGCTGCTGATTCAGAGCAAGGGCCCCACGTCCAAGTGTAGGTGGTGTAGACGCAGCAGTGGCAAGACTGCTGGGAGAGACACAGGGTGGAGAGCAGAGACATTGCCAGCCTCCCGCACTCGGCATCCAGATCCGCAAGGCGGAGGAGGGAGTGGGCAAAGCAGGAGGACCTGCAGCTGGAGGAAAGGGGCTCAGGCCCAAGAATGGGCAGTTCCCAGTGCGTGGGCTCTGGAGGCCAGTCTGCCTGGGTTAAAATCCTAGCCCACCGTTTACTACTGTGTGTGTAACTGCGAGCAATTTAGTTACCCTCTCTGTGCTCCATTTTCCTCACCTGTAAATTGAGAATAAAAAAGTCACACCCCTCTATAAGATTGCTATGAGGAAGTAATGTTTTGATTCATGCAAAGTGCTCAGAACAGTGTCTGACACAGTGTAAGTACCCAATAAATGTTGGCTATTATTATGACCAAAGGTGACAGCCTTGGAAACCCTATGGGGTAGTTCTCCTCTGTCCTACAGGGTCGCTAGGAGTCGGAATTCACTCGATGGCAGTGGGTGGGGTATTATTATGACCCTGTCCACCTGCAGTAGATCACACGGGGGTCAAGACAGCGTGGTGGCCATCTGCCTGGGCCAGCACTGGGAAGGTCTTCATGTACCTCTTACAGCACGTGGCTGGGCAGACAGGCTCCTGGAGCCCCGGGTTGCACAACAGGGTTAGACCACTGTGCATGGGCTCCCTGAAGCCCCCCAAGCACCAGGCAGAGGGATCTAGATGAGGAAGTGGGCACCCATCACTCTGCACAGCAGTCACATTCCATAAATAGAGGTTTAAATCTGATCCCTGTGTGCCCATCATGCCGAAGTCCCCAGGAGAACTGACTGAACCGGCGCTTCCCATTTTGCTGTCCCAACAAGGCTGTTCCACAGGAGGAGAAAGGGTGCTATGGTCAAAAAAGCTTGGGCAATGCCACATATTCTGTCCCTCTTTTGGATATTTTCAACGCGAATTTATTAGCGTGGCCAAATAAAGGGACCAATGTCACTTTGCTGAACCCAGCGTTTGCCTACTTTTCTTAAACATAAAATCCTTTCACTGTTCCTATGGCCAGACTGTCGAGCAGGGTTCCATGGAAACATGTTTGGGAAACACTGGAACACCAGCCTACTCTAGGAAGCTTGTTGTATAAAGAGAACTGTTGCTCCCTATTTTATCCTTCAGCTGGTTGCCATTGGCCATGTTTCCAGGGAATCACCCCTGAGCAGGACCAAAGAAAACTAAACCTGTTGCCATAGAGTCGATTCCAACTCATAGTGACCCTACAGGGCAGAGTAGAACTGCCCTGTAACTGTTTCCAAGGCTGTAATCTTTACAGGAGCAGACTGCCACATCTTTCTCCCGCGGAGCTGCTGGTGAGTTCAAACCACCAACCTTTCGGTTAGCAGTCAAGAGCTTAACCACTGAGCCACCAGAAATCTTCTGAGCAGGACACTGCCTGGATATTTATGGGACTATTACACCAGATGAGGCTCTGGGGACATTTTTCCAGCCTCCTCTTTAGCCACAGTCCCCAAGCCAAGTAAAGGGCTCAAAGATCTGGTTCCCTTGTGGAGGAGGCTAAGGCGGGAGAGCAGTGCTCACAGAGGGGAGAAGATGTCATCCCAAGACTCAGCCTCCTGAGGAAACAGGGCACAGTTGGGGCAGAGGGAAAAGGCAGAGTATCAACTTCCATAAGTTGTCACTGTGCAGGACTGCAAGGCCAGCACCCCGGGCCCTGGGAGGACTAGGGGGCTTCCTAGCCCCGCCTTGACCCACTTTTATGGCTAAGGTTTGCAGTCTGGATTTAAATTACCTGTGCTTAAATCCCAGCTCTGCACCTACTAGTTTTGTAACCTTGTAATTAACCCATCTGAACCTCAGTTTCCTCATCTGTAAAATGGGGACAATAATAAATCTACTGTTAGGGTGGCTGTGAGGGCTAAATATGATGACGTAGTCCTATAAAGTGCTCAGAGTAAGCATTCTATAAATGTGAGCAATTATTATTATCATTTCCCTGTAGTGGCAGCCAACGGTTGGGCCCACCATGAACTGGGGGTTCTTCGAGGGGCTCCTGAGTGGGGTCAACAAGTACTCCACAGCCTTTGGGCGCATCTGGCTGTCTCTGGTCTTCATCTTCCGTGTGATGGTGTACCTCGTGACGGTCGAGCATGTGTGGAGCGATGACCACAAGGATTTTGACTGTAACACCCGCCAGCCCGGCTGCTCCAATGTCTGCTTCGACGAGTTCTTCCCCGTGTCCCACGTGCGCCTGTGGGCCCTGCAGCTCATCCTGGTCATGTGCCCCTCGCTGCTGGTGGTCATGCACGTGGCCTATCGTGAGGCTCGGGAGAGGAAGCATCGAGAGGCAGTGGGGGAGGGCAGTGCACGCCTCTACCTGGACCCCAGCAAGAAGAGGGGTGGGCTCTGGTGGACATACGTCTTTAGCCTGGTGTTCAAGGCTGGCGTGGATGCCGCCTTCCTCTACGTGTTCCATTCATTCTACCCTAAATATACCCTCCCTCCTGTGGTCAAGTGCCATGTGGCTCCATGTCCCAATGTTGTGGACTGTTTCATCTCCAAGCCGTCGGAGAAGAACATCTTCACACTCTTCATGGTGGTCACAGCTGCCATCTGCATCCTGCTCAACCTGGTGGAGCTGGCCTACCTGGTGAGCAAGAGGTGCCGCGAGTATCTGGTGGCCAGGAGAGCCCGGGCCCCACACAAGCGGCATCCCTCAGACTTTGCCACCTCATCCTGCAAGCAAAACAACCTCCTCTTGGATGACATCATCTTTCTGGGCTCAGACACTCACCCTCCTCTCTTACCAGACCACCCTCAGGACCACATGAAGAAAACCGTTCTGTGAGGTGCTGCCCGGACTGTGCTGACAGGTCGGGGCTGGAACTGGAAGGTCAGCAGTATCCCTGCCTACAGCGATGGGGCGCCCATCGGTGAATGCGGTGATGGGGTGCAGCCTGGGTGGTACGAGGAGCTGAGCCACGAGTTGGGAGCAGGAGAGAAGAAGTCAGACACCTAGGATCAAATCCCTTTTCCTCCACTCTAGCCATTGGCCCCAGCTGTGTAGCCTTGGGCAAATTACTCCTCTGCTCTGCACCTCAGTTTCTTTTCCTGTAAAATGGACATACTGATGCCCATCTCACAGGGCTGTTGTGAGGGACATTTAACAAGAGAACATACATGCAAGTGCCTTCCGTGTGTGGCCCATAGTCAGGGCTTAATAAAAGTCCATTCATTCACTCATTCAAGGTGTCCTTTGGTCCTTTGATATTTGTGACTGTTCTCAGGTCATTGCATCAATTCCTCTGACTCTGCAAAGGGCTGTGCTTGATCCAGCCAGATGAGGAGCCATCCTCTCCTCAAGAAAAGGAGTTCCCAGCACTCCTGGGGACCATGCTACTTGCCCATACTCAAGTCTAGCCCTTCTCCCCAGGTGCAGGTATAGGCCCATGGCTTGTCTCAAAAGAGAATGGAGTTCAGTCCGTGGCGGCTCTGGGCTGCAGGGGAACGCACAGGGTCTTCAGACACGTGATTTCTATCCAAGTTCCACTGGGACTGTAGGAAAGTACTTTCAGCTTCTCTCAAAAAGGGGGTTGATATACCTACCCCGAGGTGTGGTTGTGAGGCCAGGATGAGCTCATGGCTGCGGAAGGGTTTAGCCAGCTGGGAAAGGCCACATAAATGTTAATCATTGGTATTAGGAAGTGCTCAATAAATGCTTGTGGGAAGTGAGGCAGAGGGGCCCTTCCCTGGCTGCACATTTACCTTCACTGTCCTGAGGGTGGGACAAGACTATGACCCTCTCTAGTCCCTGCTGGAACACGCTCAGGCTTCCCTAGAGGCCTTTCCAGGGCCCCAGAGGGTCAGGCCCCTAGAGACAGACACCGAGGCTGTGCTTGGCCCTGTGCCACCTGGAGCATTTCATGCTGCTGACCTGCATTCCTTGTCTTCAACCAGGGTAACAGAAGCCCTCGTCTAGAAAAGTCATAGTGTGGCGCTCTCATCCCCTAAAGAACACAACAGCAGCCCAAGCACAGCAGAAAGCAGCAGTCCCCACAAATCTCCCCACAAAGGTGGGGTGCCTTCCTGAGCTGACCCGAGGTTGCCCCTTTCCATAAATGTCAGAACCAGTATTCCAGAAAAAAGGGTCTGGGGAAGAGAGGCCTGGGGGCTGGAGGCAATAAGGCAGCAGGAAGGGGAAGGGTGATCTCGTTGGTGGTGACCTGGGCCTGGGTGTGAAGATACCAGGCTTCTGCCCCCCTCACTGAGGTCTCACCCACACACCTGCCCTCCCAAGGAGCCAGGCCCAGCCATGCCCAACCAGGCTAGAGAGAGACATGGGTTAGGATAGAAGAGCCTCAGGTGTTTGCCCTGAATATGTGCCCAGGGAAGTCCGGCCGCCTGCCCACCCGCTCACTCTCTCTTGGCTCATTGGCTCAGAAAGCCCCACCCAGCAGGGGAGTGAGGAACAAAAGCTGCCTCCAGGAGGCCCTCGGGCAGACGGACAAGCCCAGGGACAGGAGAGCAGCTGCTGGACCCAAGAAGGATAAGGACCAAAAGGTGAGGGAGACGGCTGGGAAGCAAGGGGTCAGTGAGCTGAGGATGCCCAGGGACCCTCGGGCTACAGGCTGGCTTCAGGGAGGGGTGCAGAGGGGCAGCAGGTCAGGGTCCCTGGAAAAGTCCCAGGAAAACTCTTACTGGGGGGGAAGGAATGTCTCGCCAAACCAGGGGAACGGCAGAGGACAAGACAAGGAAGAGGAGGGATCAGGAAGAAATGTGATTTTAGTTCTGGGTCCATTGGCCAGGCTGGGTGCTGGATCCTGGGGAAGCAGAGATGAATGTGATGTAGAGTCTGCCCTCCAGCATCTGACAGTCTGTCCAGAAGACAGGTAAACACATCATTTGAGTACAGGTGATACACACTGCCAAGAAGGAGAAGAGGGTGCTCAGGGTTGGGACAGAGAAGGCTACCCGGGGGCCGATGTCAGAAAATGCTCAAGAAGTCCAGGGCTGAGGCAGGGATGGGGCAGGAAGAGCAGGGGACAGAACATGATGGAACTCCAGACAGGGGGTATGGAGGTGAGCACACAGGACAGGGGCTGCATAGAAATAGTGGAAGACTCGGCCAGCAAACAGATGGAAGAGAGGGCGTTTCTGAGAGAGAAAATAAATTGTGGGGGGAGGGCTGTGCCAGAACCCCACCTCTGCCCCTTCCTCTGCCCCTCCCTAAAACTGGGAAGGTTGGACTCCCAGAGAAACCCACTGTGGTCAGCACAGTCAGTCCTGGGGCCCCAGCACGGAGACAAGAAAGGCAGAGGCGGAGGAATTGCCAAACTGCCATGGTTCCAAAGAGCCTTCTGTTTGGTGTGGGAGGGAACCTCAGAGCTGTGAATGTCCCTGGCCCAGAGAGGAGGAATGAGGATGGAGATTGTTCCACAGTCTACCAAAGAGGTAGATATGAACATGCCCAGACAGGGTCTGGCTCCTGTTGGCACTCAAGAAATGCTGGATGAATCTAACAACCGATAAGGATGCGTTTCCCCACCTCCTGCACCAGCCTATCCCTAGCATCTGGCAGGAGAACAGATCATCTAATCCTCACCTTCTTACTATCTCTTTTGAAGCTGCGTGGCCAGTAGGGCTGTAACTCGGGATAAAAAAGGTTGGTTGGCGTTTCCACACAGGATGATTATCATTCACATTTATCTATTTATAGAATAAAAGAGACGGTTATGTTGGAACTGGAAGACCGAGGTTCAAGACCAGCTCTGCTACGTTCAGCTGTGGGGCCTTGAACAGGTGCTTTCTCCTTTCTGTGCCTTGGTTTACTCCCATGTGAAATAGGAATCATGGCAACCCTTACCTCAACAAGCCGTCGTGAGTGAGGACACAAGGACAATGTGGATGTGAAAGGGTTTTGTCAATTGTGCCATCAATCGGGGCGCCCACTCTCAGGTCCTCCCGTGGCTAGCAGCCCCCAACGTCTGAGTGGGTGGTGCAGAGATATATAGACCCATCGACGTGAGGGCCCAGGGCCATTGCCACCATGAATTGGGCATTTCTGCAGGGCCTCCTGAGCGGCGTAAACAAGTACTCCACAGCGCTGGGTCGCATCTGGCTGTCCATGGTATTCATCTTCCGCTTGCTGGTGTACGTGGTGGCCGCCGAGGATGTGTGGCATGATGAGCAAAAGGACTTTGCCTGCAACACCAAGCAGCCAGGCTGCCCCAATGTCTGCTGTGACGAGTTCTTCCCCGTGTCCCATGTGCACCTGTGGGCCCTGCAGCTCATCCTGGTCACATGCCCGTCGCTGCTGGTGGTCATGGACGTGGCCTATCGTGAGGAGCGTGAGCGATGCCACCGCCTGAAGCATGGGCCTAATGCCCCTTCTCTGTATGACAATGCAGGCAAGAAGCGTGGCGGGCTCTGGTGGACATACTTGCTGAGTCTCATCTTCAAGGCCACCGTCGACGCCAGCTTCCTGTACATCTTCCATTGCCTCTACAAGGATTATGACATGCCCCGCATGGTTGCCTGCTCTGTGGCACCATGCCCTCACACCGTGGACTGTTTCATCTCCCGACCCACAGAGAAGAAGGTCTTCACCTACTTCATGGTGGCCACAGCTGTCATCTGCATCCTGCTTAACCTCAGTGAGGTTGCCTACTTGGTGGGCAAGAGGTGTATGGAGATCCTGGGCCCCAGGCGCCGAAAATCTCGGCGCCGGGGTCGTCTACCCGATGCATGCCCACCATATGCCCTCTCCCAGGAAGGGCACCCCCAAGATGGGACCTCTGTCTTAATGAAGGCTGGGTTGGCCCCAATACAGGTGGATATACATAAGCAGCAATGCCAGCATATAAGATGACCAGGTCCCCCCAGCCTGCTCCCAGGCCACCCAGGAAAACAAGGAAAGGGCCGTGACACCTCTTCTGTAGTAGGGGAGGTCAGGAGGGCGGTTGTGGGGGCCCAGAAAGCTCACCCAGGGGCCAGTGCCTCAGGTACTTGGGTTCCTGGGTCCTCAGCCTTTATGGGAGGGGGTTGATGGGGATGCAGCTGGCTGGCTGGTGGGGATTTTGTGTATGGTGATATGCTATGTCAAAACCTTTAATAAATATAATTTTCCTAGTACTCTGCAGATTAGGAGGGAAGTGGTGGGTAGGGAAACAGGGGGATTCACGATGGAAGCCAAGACTACTTGGTGGGCAATTGGGCTCCAGAACCTCAGATCCAGGCTTTTGATCACTAGCCCCAGACACAGAATGTGTCCCAGGATGTGGTGGGGAGGGTCCAAAGGTAGGGGCAGCCTCAGGGGCTCTGGGCTCTGCAAGCAGCTGGCTGAGGTGGAGGAGAGAGACCCCAGGAGCCCCTGGGCCCAGCATGAGTCAGTTCTCAGTAGGTCTCGTCAGATGAATGCCTGTACTGCCCACTTTCTGGTCTCCCCAACCTGCCCAGCACAGGTCCCAGGAAAGTGAGTCCCCTCTGAGGGTGGAAGGGGAAATCCTGGGGGTGCTGAGAGTCATTAGGGGGACACTATGGTGTGTGAAAGGCACATCCCCACAGGCCAGGGCCTCAGTAAGAGTCCACTAAAGGGTTCCTGATGGATCATCAAGTCTGTGGGATTTTCCATTCTTTTCACCGCATATACACTTACCCAGAAAAGGAGCCCTGGTGGTCCAGCAGTTAAGCGCTTGGCTGCTAACCGAAAGGTCAGTGGTTCAAACCCACCAGCCACTCCATGGGAGAAAGATGTGGCAGTCTGCTTCCGTAAAGATTACAGCATTGAGCAAATCTGCTGCAAATGACCTCTTTAAAATGTTAAAAAGCATAGATGTCACTTTGAGGACTAAGGTACGCCTGACTCAAGCCATGATATTTTCAATCGCCTCATACGCATGCGAAAGCTGCACAATGAATACGGAAGACTGAAGAAGAATTAATACATTTGAATTCTCGTGTTGGCAAAGAATATTGAATATACTGTTTACTACCAGAAGAACAAACAAATCTTTCTTGGAAGAAGTACAGCCAGAATGCTGCTTAGAGGCAAGGATGGCGCGATTTGGCCTCACGTACTTTGGACGTGTTATCAGGAGGGATCAGTCCCTGGAGAAGGACATCATGCTTGATAAAGTAGAGGGTCAGCAAAAAAGAGGAAGACCCTCAACGAGATGGACTGACACAGTGGCTGCAACAATGGGCTCAAGCATAACAATGATTGTGAGGAAAGCACAGGACCGGGCAGTGTTTCATTCTGTTGTACGTAGGGTCTCTATGAGTTGGAACCGACTCAACAGCACCTAACAACAACAATGCTCCCCAAGCAACCTCATCCTCCACACCTACCACGAAGATCCTGGAAACTCCCAGAAACATCGCTCCAGCCAGGACCTGCCTCCGAGTCCCAGGGCCCAACACCAAGTGCCCACATGACAACTCTCAGAAAGCCCCACAGGCACCTCACACTCAGCAATGCCCAGACTCACCGTCTTCCCCCAAACCCATTCTCCTCACAGACACCCCCACCCACCCACCATGAACAGTACCGCCATCCACCCAGATGCCCAAGCCAGAAGCTGGCATATCATCCTCGCCCCCTCCTCTCTCTCAGCCCTTCACACCCCACATCCCAACACAACACCAAATCCCACTGATTCCCACTCCTCAACTAGCCTCCCCACCTCACAGCCTTATTGCCTCTTGCTGGGCCTCCCCCATCTGCCCTCCACCTCTGGGCACAGAGTGCTCTTTCTATAATCTGACCATACCATTCCTCTTGCTTTAAAATCCCCCTTCATTTCCCTTAACGCAGCCCCTGCTGACCTCCCCAGCCTCACCCCTTGCTTCCTCCGCTTCTTTTAACCCACCAATAACACCAAAGGGCTCATGGTCCCCCAAACACATCCTGCTGTGTCATGCCTAGTGCCTTTGTACACACTGTTCCCTCTCCCTGGAATGCCTTCCTCCCTCCTCTGTGTACCTTTCTGGATTCTCAAGAACAGCCTCAGCCACCTTCTCCTGTGAGTCATCCCAGCTGGACCTCTGCCATTCTTCAGGATCAGAATGATTGGTCACCCTGTGTGTCTCCCCATGGGTCTATAAGCCCTTCCAGGGCAGGGACCGCTGAGTCATGCAGGTCCCAGTTGCCTTCAATAAATGTTTGTCACTTGAGTAAATGAGCTGCTTGGGGGAAGGGATTGTGTCCTTTTTATTGGAACCCTCTACCACCCTAGCCCAGAGAGGTCAGCAAAGGGGTTTTTTTTTTTGTTTTTGTTTTTGTTTTATTTTGATTTATTTTTCACTAAATCCAGCCTGACAGTCTCATTTTTAGGTGAGGGGACTTGGGCCTAGAGAGGGGAGGGGAACTTCCAAGGTCTGCCGCATCTCTACAGGGCTGTGTCACCTGTAGTCTATGCACAGCCTCCATCCCCACCTCTGATGATGGGACAAGACCAGAGAGTCTCCCGTGTCTGAGATCAGGTTCCCTAGAAGCAGAGGCTGGGGCAGGAATTTGTTGTGAAGGAAGGAGCAAGGGATACAAGATGGGGGGACAGGGGAGGGGGGCACTGAGCATGGATGTATACTCAGGTCTAGTTTAGCCTTGGCCTGATCCCTATGGGATGAAGGGGCATTGGATCATAAACCCCACCATAGAGCTGTCTCCTCCTGGAGGCAAGGGCACCAGACTTTCGAACTCCAGTTGTTGGCTTCAGGTCACTCCGAGGTCAGGGGAGTAGCAGGAAAGGGTAGCGGCTCCCACTTAGTTGAGGTCAATTCTTCTGGGGCAGCTATAAGCCATGAGCAGCCAATATTCCCAGCAGCTGGAAAATGGGCACACTGACTCAGTACAGGGGACCTAGGCACGGTGTCAATAGCATCTACTGACCTCAGGAAACAAGTGCAGCTCCACCTCCAATCCAGACCAGAGCACTGGCCACCCAATCTGGGACAACAGGGTGGTACTCTCAACCAGCTAGAACCAGATGGTCCCACACAGTTAGATCAAGAAGCTCCCAATTCCAGGCCAGGGGACCATCCCTGGTCAACTCTCCCTGAGACTCTAGATCCCCACTGGGTCTACATTATGGTGAGTATGCTCTGGGACCCAACCACTCTCATCACAGACCTCTCCACGGGTGCTGCCCCCAGGAAGTCTCAAGCCCTAAGCCCAGAGGCCTTAGGAGGTGGCCAGGACTAATCCTGTAGGAAACCCTTCAGTCATCTACTCCCACAGATTGTCTTATGCTCAGTCCCTGTGCACACTCTCACCTCCCCCACACTGCTGTCACCACCACTCTCAGACCTTTCCACCTCCCCCTTCTTGAAGAATCCCTGATAGATCAGCTTAAACCCCAGCCACCTTTCTCTTCAACCCTCTGCCCTGCCCCTCATTGCTGCCATCTACTTCTCATTCATTAAAGACTTGAGCATGTCGCTCAGGGTCTTCTCCTGATGGTTTCCTATGACCCAACTGGGCATCACCCTGTCCTTTTCATTCCATGACCTCCTCATCTCCTGTGACCTCCTCCTCCCCTACATTTGGCCATACTCCAGACTTTGTCATCACCCAGAACTGCTCTACCTCTAGAATTCAAGTCGACAAATATTTATTGTTCACTTTATGTGACAGGTGCCAAGCTTTGTGTTAGGGATTTATCTGGGAAGAATCAGACATAGTCCCTACCCCCATGGGGCTTACATTCCAGTGAAAAGGCCAGCTATCAAGCCAGTGGCAAATTGGGGAAGCACAGGGTGCTGGAGGAAGTGGTAGGTGGGTCCAATAGCTAGGCATCCAGGAACTGGTTTCCTGATAACTTCCTAAACTGAAACCATCCATCACCCCCACCTTCACGGCAATCACCCCCTTCCTGTGCTCCCTCTCCTCCTTATCAGTTTGGACTCCATGGGCCCCCACAATACACCTACTTGTAGACATTCCCCACTCCTTTTCCGTGACTCTGTAGTGCTCACCTGGCAAGACCCTGTTGTCATTGCTGTAATTAGCTGCAGTCTAGTTGGTTCCCAACTCACGGCAACCCCATGCACAAGGGAATGAAATGCCACCCAGTTATGGATTGGCATCTTTGTGACCCATAGGGTTTTCATTGTCTGGTTTTCAGAATTAGATTGTCAGACCTTTCTTCCTAGTCCATCTTAGTCCAGAAGCTCCGCTGAAACTTGGTCAGCATCATCATAACACGCAAGCCTCCACTGACAGACAGGTGGTGGCTTCAAATGAGTGCACTGCAGGAAAGGGGAGAATTCTCCCACTGAACCACCAATGTCCTCTGGCAAGATCCTAACTCTGGCTAAGCCCAACTCTCTCTCTGGCACTTGTTCCTAGAGAAATAGGAAGATTTTGCCAAGCAAAGGGGAGAGGAGAAGAAAGAGAGGACTCCGGGCAGAAGGGTCAGCATATGCAAAGGCCTAGTAAGGATTACACATCAACATAAAGAAAACAAAAATCCTCACAACTGGACCAATAAGCAACAGCATGATAAATGGAGAAAAGATTGAATTGCCAAGGATTTCATTTTACTTAGATCCACAATCAACACCTAAGGAAGCAGCAGTCAAGAAATCAAAAGACACATTGCATTGGGCAAATCTGCTGCAAAAGACCTCTTTAAAGTGTTAAAAAGCAACGTTGTCACTTTGAGGACGAAGGTGCACCTGACCCAAGCCATGAT